GCTAAATCTGATTAACCCCCATAAGTACCCTCCGGATTGAGACAGAGGGTTGAAAATTGGCACAAGACGTTTGCTTTGGACACTCTATCGAATGGCTTATTGCAAGTTGAATTTCCTTCAAGAGCACATTTTACCATCTTATCCGGCTTTTTATTTCTTCATTGTTATTGCAACCTGCAACTTAAAAAACATTTTCCGTTGTAGTAGATTCCCTCTGCCCCATTCAATGTGCATACATCGACTATGTAAATTGTCGAATAAACAAAAAAAAGTGAAGTGCCTGGGTTTCGAACACACGGAGCTTCGAAGGCTCCGAGCCGAGCCTGGAAGACTTCGAACCTCGAGGAGAGGAGACCGTGATTTTCAGATGCGCTCGATTCACGCAATCAGCACCGAAGTTTCCGACCTTCTTTCCGAATATGTCCGAGGACGGCCGAATTTAAAATTCGCTTCATTGACGCATCAGCACGCACACAAATTTCATCCACTCGGCTAAAAGTGTCGATTTAAGACGCGGCCGCGGACCGATGTTTATAATAAAAAATTATTGAATAAATGTCGAATTTCATATTAAATCTGTCTTGCGTTTAATTTCATTACCCTGTGTACTTCCTGACCTGCGGTTCTGCGAGTAAAATTTGTATTTTTATATAATCAAGTTACATATTGTTAAATTAGTAGAAACATCTCCCGACTTGACATAATTAACATATATGGGAAAATGGATTTGCACGACTTTCAAAATGAACGGTCCATCTGTATTTCAGCGAACTTGCTCGTCCGTCCAAGCTATTGCGGCTATCACTCGAGCGAACGATTCCCATTCGACATATATATATATATTCCTATATCCCATCTTCATACTGCCTGGTACTGCCTATAATGTGTATATGCTACGGTGGACCTGGCCCTGATTCTGGTCTGTGCTACGGTGGAACCGAACAGGGTAGATTTCTCCTACAAAGGTTCTGCTACATGCTAAAGGTGGACCATCTTCCCCAGTTGGCCGCAAGGTGCAGCACTAGTATGGGAGACGCCAAAACGGCTCCATGAGCACTCTCAGTTTCTCTCTGGCCAAAATAAGCCTACAAATCTTGAAAATCACTGCATACCCCCACCAACTATTGGTCCCCACCATGGTCGCGTCGTCCCCACTTTCCGGCGTGCACGGGAAGATACGAGATCCCTGCTCTCCCCTTGGGTAAATCTCCCATCTGCTGGTTTGCTATACTCGCGCAAGCACGAACGCATCGAACGCATTTATATATATATAACCGCGGACAAGACGTCGCGCCAGGCATCGCATATTTTTTCCCTCGGCCGGAAAGTGGGAACGACGCGACCATGGTGGGGACCAATAGTTGGTGGGGGTATGCAGTGACTTTCAAGATTTGTAGGCTTATTTTGGCTATACATCTCGTCAAGTTGGCAACGTGGATAGTAGCGCCAAGCCAAGCGTGACGTAGACGAACGCGGCGCTGAATCTTTCTCATTTGAGTTTGGATGCCAGGCTTAAACACTTCCACGTGCGATTTCTTTGTTCTCTTCAATATTGTTCTTGTTACTCGTTATTTTGTTGTTTTCGTTATTGTTATTTATTCTTGTTATTGTTATTATTACTTTTCGTGAGTGCAAAATGGCTGAATCATCAGGTAAGATATATTTTTACTACTTATGTATTATGTGTATTCATGCACCGAGTATAACTCAATAAATTAATGATCCTGTAAGAAACATATGTTGCACAGGAAAAGTTGATGCATAAAACAGAAAAGCATTTTTTACAAGTGGCGGCTTTATTTATTTTCGCTCAGAAATGTGGGAAATATTGCAAGATTCGTAGACAAAGGAAACGTGTTTCACAAAGTCTCGGAAGAACTCTTTGTCTGCATTGTCCGCAATGCAGGGATGGTGTACAGTGTGAACATTTGCGAAAATTGTGCAATTCTGCACAATTCGTACCCATCCCGAATCGGGTAATTGTACAATATATCATTAAAAAAAACAATTCCTACCAATATATCACATGTAATTGTAGAAGACGAACCGGATGACAGTGACAGTACAAATACTGATGGTGAATAAATATGTTTTTAAACAAATAAAATTACATTTCTTTTATTATTTACCTCTCCCGAATAGATTCAATTCGAAATTTACAAACACGAAAAGCATACATTATTTCTCATACATTTCTGCTTTTCAAATATATACATGCATACAAATTATATTCATTACATTTACTTTCGCTGTTCATAATAATTCATTTCGTCCGATTCAAATTCAGAAATCACTAGGACGAAATGTTATGCAGGTGGCGGTGCGGAGAGCTTCGCGAAGGCGCGTGAGAAGAATAGTAGTGGGGATCGAAATACGGGCGAAAAAGAGGGGAAGCGAGCCATGCGGGAAAAAATATGCGCACCCTGCGTCGCGCATTGAGAATCCAACACACTCGTCGCAACGTGCTCAGTGTCAACTGAGTCCCTCCATGCAATGTATTCGCATGACAATCCACGATTATTAACTCGGAGACTCTGTGGTTAGGCAGGATGATCGCAAATCGCTGATCGTCGGGCAGTTCCGCGTTGCTTAACCGCCTGCCAACGCGAACAATTACATCTTGGTCGAGAATGGGATTCAATCTAACCAATGGGCTTGATTTGCGTATAGTTTTCCCGTGCTTTAAAGCTTTGATTTCATCTGGAAAACAAAGGAGCTGAATGTGTTGCAGCCAAAATTTACGTGCATTACGGATCTCCTCGACTCTAATTACTAAATCTGCAAATTCATAAATCTTAGTTTTACATCTCGATTTAAATCGAAATCTATAAGCGGTAATACGTAGTAGTTTCATCCATGAAGAGGTACGACTAGGCAGATCTCATTCAGTTATAGCTTGGCTATGTAACGTCTTAACTTCCCGTTTGATTTCCGTTTCTACTTCCGAGGGAGGATTAGGAGTGGATTCTGGCCACTCCTCTGGTGGACACGACAGCCATGGTGGGCCGCTCCACCAGAGCATACGTTGCTCTAATTGAGTCGCGGACAGGCCGCGGGACGCACAATCAGCAGGGTTAAATTCAGAGGGCACGTGTCTCCAAATGGCGTTGATCGCACTACCCTGAATTTCCGCCACCCTGTGGGCCGCGAACGTCTTCAACCGACTTGGGTGCTTATGAATCCATGCTAGTGCGACAGCCGAGTCCGTCCAGCAATAAACGGGACAATTCTGTCTCAATGTACTTTGAATGTATTCAATGAGCCTAGCCATTATGACTGAAGCAGATAATTCCAGCCTTGGAATTGTAAGCGGCTTTAAGGGCGTTACTTTAGTTTTAGCCATAAGCAAATGAACATTCGCGTGATTTGTAGTGGCACCGACGCGTAAAAAGACTACCGCGGCATATGCATTCAGAGACGCGTCTGAAAACCCATGAATTTCGCAATTCAGTGTGACTTGGCTTAATCCAAGCCATCTAGGAATGGATATACTTCGTAACTGCTTTAAATCGCTTGAATATTCGTCCCACTGCTTATGTAGTTCGAACGTCAATGGATCGTCCCAGTTGAGTTTGGCCATCCATAATTTCTGCATAAATATTTTTGCCGTGATTATCACTGGACAAGTCCAGCCAAGTGGGTCAAACATTCGAGCAATAGTAGACAACACTAATCTCTTGGTGTATCGCGAATTCTCTGGATATTCTATTTTGAAGTTAAATTGAAATTTATCTGAACAAGTGGACCAGAACAATCCCAACGTTTCCAAACCGTCGATTTCTTGAAAAGGGCGACTCGAAGCTAACTCGTGATCCCCATTCGGAATCCCGGCGAGCAATTGAGAGCAGTTGCTTGCCCATTTTCTTAAATGAAATCCATCACATTTTAATAGCGCTGAGACTGAGACTGAGTTTCTTAATTGCAAAGCGAGAGCCTTATCATCGGCTCCGAACAGAAGATCATCAACATAGATCTGATCATTTAAAATAGGCACAGCTAGTGGGAAATTAGTTCCCTCATCTGTCGCGAGCTGTTTGATGACTCGATTAGCGATAAACGGAGCCGAAGCAGTACCGTATGTTACGGTCTGCAATTCATATGTTTTGAGAGAGTCGCTAGAGTTCTCTCTCCAAACTATGAATTGATAATGAGTATCGCGAGGATTTATCCATATTTGTTTGAACATTTTGGCAATATCAGCAGCGATTACAAAACGATGAGATCGCCATCGTAAAATTATTGCATTAATATCTGCTTGTAATTTAGGTCCTACTAACAAATGATCGTTCAACGTAGAACTATTTGTGGTGCGCATTGATGCGTTAAAAACAACTCGCAAACGAGTAGTGCTACTATCCTGTCGAATGACAGGATAATGCGATAGGAAGACATTTTGCGTCGACTGTAAATTAATTTCACCTCTGTCTAACATGTGTCCTAAAGCTAAGTATTCTTTAAGAAAGGCATGATACTCGGATGCTAATTCTGGATTTTTTTCTAATCTCTTTTCTATCTGATGAAAAGATCTGGTAGCAATCATCTGAGAAAACCCGATTGCTATAGGAGACTCAGTTTTAAACGGCAGACGTACTACATATTTACCATCCGCTCGACGAGAATGAGTGGATGTAAAATGTTCCTCACAGATTTTATCTTCCTCTGATAGGAAGCTAACTTCAGGAGAAGCTTCTATCTCCCAAAACCGCTTAATGTTTTCGTTGATTTCAGCGTAAATATCACTATGCAGCACATTAATGTGATCAGGTTCTACGTTACTCGTCTGAATGGGACTTGTCAATACCCAACCAAAGATGGTTTCCTGCGCTATAAGAGCGCCAGATATGTTTTTACGTAATCCTTCTAATAAAATTAAACGATAATAATCAGCACCAATAATTAAATCTATTGGCACCGTAGAAGATGCGTAAAAATCGGCCCATTCGAGTTCCTTCAACTGCTCCCATTGATCAGAACTAAACGGCACAATTGCTTGATACGACGTTAACCGTTTTAGAATAAGAGCTCGAATATTTATACATGGCCCGTCCTGATGAATGGGTCCTATCAGCAAATTCGTTGTCGCTTGAACAGTTGCGGTATGATTGGTACCGATACCAGAAACTGTTATTATACAGTTATACTGTTACATACAGGGTCTATGAGAGTGCGTATTTGAGCACTTCGCCCCGCGTGAGTAGTCACCTTGACCCAGACTGTAGCTAGCAGGACTTTGTTCGAACAATCCCGGGCAGAACCGAGATGGGAGGTCACCTCTGAGGTCGAAGGTTTCCCGGTGTCTTTATTTGCGGCTTGCGCCGAATTAGTAATGTCATTTGAACTTGCTGACGCCATTTTTTCATTAGCGGTCCTACTCACTGTTCCTACAGCCTGCGTCAGAGTGCTCCTGCGTTCGAAGTGTAAGAGCGTGTGATGCTTGCCCTTACACCTCGCACACAAGCGTTTACTAGGACAATTCGTCGGAAAATGTCCATTTTGCAAGCAATTAAAGCATCGGCGATGATCGCGCGCGAGATTGAGACGCTGTTCCGTATTTTTGCTACGGAATGCATCACAGTTATATAATGCGTGATTAGCGCCACAATCAATACATTGAGCTTCTGCCACGTTTAAATGGGCTTTAACGTTTCTCTGGGATTTAACTTAGAACTAAATCCTTGCACATGCGCATCTGTGAGCGACTCGAGCGTACGTATACGAACATCTAAAGCAGCATTCCACTGAGCAAAGGAAGGAAAATTATTTTCTTCGCCCATGCGATTTTCCCATTCTCGAAGAGAACCCTTTAAATCGTTTAACGTGTTACTACCGATTGATGGAACATCCAATAAAATTCGTAAATGCGCAGTAATAAGCGCTCGTTTGTTAGAATATCTATCTTGCAAGCTTTTCCACGCCGATTTGGCTCTGCCCATCTTGCGATAATTGGCCAATGTATTATTAATCAAGCGAGAAAGCGCTTGACTTTCTTTACCAACAGCTTCCATATTAACGGGATGGTACAGGAAAGGACTTAGATTCGTATTCTTATACAGGGTGTAAACCTACTAATGGGCAATATTTTAAGGACGAGTTCTTTGGTCGAAAATAAGTCGAAAATCAAGAGAGAAAAAATTGCGTTTAGAGCTTCGTTAATTAGTTATTAACATTTAAAAATTCGATGATTTTGCCCCTAAAATTGACAATCCGCCTTGCATCGACGGACGTTTTCGGCATACGCTCAGCTGATCACCGCCGACCGATGCATGTCGATAACCGAAAGTAGGACCGTACCTATAAGAAATTTGTGGGCTTACCTCGGGTGCTGGAGATGGGAAATTATTTTAATGCGATGTATCTTGGCATTCAACCTAATCACTCGCTTAATCCGCAAGAGCACATTGAAACTCGCTCTATAGGATTTTCGAGTCAGGAGGGTGAATGCCTTTTTCTTACGCACCGAAATGAAATATCCACACAAGTACACATGCAACGAAATTATTCCGTCCGTAGTGTCCACAAGACACGAAACACATAGTCACAATCCACACTAAACACTAAGCGCAGAATGACTCCGATAAATTCTTAAGCTTTTTAATCCTTTACGCGACGCACTTGCCAACAAATAACATTTCACTAATCAAACAACATTTCACTTTGCGAAAAAGTTGTGCGAAGCGTGGTTGAGGAGTTATGAACAAAGAACCTCGACCAATGAGAGCGCTCGGTTGACGCGAGCTCCGACTCGGGAGCGTTGG